CTCCTCCCTGAACCTTCTGGAAGACGAGCAAATACTGAACAATGTTTTCACACAGACATGTCTGTAGTGTTTTCCCTTCCTTCCAGAAATGCAAGACTTATCAATAACGTAAAGGCATTTTAGTGCTCAACCCTCAGAATGGCAACAACAAAACACATTCAATTGAATTATTATTAACTGGATGTAACATCTGTACAGCAATGGTTCACTGGGCGGAATTATGCTGATGATATTTTGAATATCCAAACAATTTTCAGACAACAATTTTCCCATCACTGACTGTAATTTCCAATGCGTATACATTCCCTTCACCCCTTGTGTTTGTGTCAAAGGCAAATCAAATCTGTAATATACACAACTAGAGTTAGAAGAAAAGGAACTGTTGACGGTGACAAGCACTGTTTCCTGACACACCACATAAACCCGGCTTTGAGCTTTGAGTTCAGCTAAGCTGCGGTGGAATTCAAAAGTTGATTGCAGTGCAGGAAGTTGCACACAAGGCAGATTTGATTCGCCTTTCGTTGTGTAATGTTACCGAAAAATATCTGGTTTTAAGTTTACTCAAAGAGAGTAAGGGAGCAAACAAAGTGATGGAAACTGTAATATTTGCAAATCGTTCTTTGGTGTAACTAATATTAATTATGAATTTTCTGCCATGTCAATGTTTTTAGGTCACCCGGTCCCACTGAAAATCAAGACCCAATGAGCATTAACCTTTGGAAATGAGTAATTTGACTTCAAATGTCAGTGCATACTGCTTAGAGGCACTTAGACTGCTTAGTCTGCTTCCAGGGCAGTAACTAAAGTGCTTTAGGGTGTAAAGAGAAAAGTTGAAGGAAATCTATTCTGTGGCTGTTCTTCAGGGCTCTGTACTGAGACAAAAAAAAAAACAAAAAACTTGCTGCTTCTGTGGATGAGGTAGAACATGCCAATGAGGCTGCCGGTTCATCCAAGGCTCAGTAGAGCACAGCTGCCAGATGATGAAAGACTTGATTCGTATGCAGTGAAAACAAATAGATTTCCCCTCCTGCTACAGTTCTCTGAAGCTCCCCTTTTGAGGACAAAGGACAAAACATTTTGAACGCAATCCTCCGACTTGAACCTAAACCTCCGTGTTGGGAAGTTCATGGAAGAGGCGAAATTCACATTCACATTCAAAGTGTCATTTAAGATTGAGTGGAATTTTTGAAATTAAATAGGATTAAATGCAGTTCTTTATAAGTTGTAGGGTGGATTCTGGTCTTTGTCTGCATTACAATTTTTTTTTATCTGGAATCGGTTTGCTCATGTCTCAAACCATTTTTAACCTGGAGTTATTTTTTTACCATCACTGGAGGTGATTGGTGATTCGAAGGTGTGAAATTTTATTGTTAAAATTAGCGGGGAAAACCATCACTGGAGGTGATTGGTGATTGGAAGGTGTGAAACTTTATTGTTAAAATTAGCGGGGAAAATGCAATTTTTACAAAGCTGCATCATAGGTCATGACTCAATCACACTCAGTCAAAGGGCTGGCTCTATTTGTCTTGCTCTCAGTCTGTTCCTATTAGGACAGTGTGGTTCAGACAATCAGGTCAGCAGTTAAAAAGAATTATTTTTTTTTTATTTTATTTTTTTTGTAATTATTTTTTTTTTATTTTATTTTATTTTTGCTCGATAGCTTTTCAACACCAGCATACGACTTCACTCATTAGACCTCCATCTCCTCGTCGTCTTTCTAACTGGAAGAAAACCCGAACCATGACAATGCCTCATCAGCTTTCAAACATTTCATTAGTGTTTCAATTACCTGGGTGCTGACAGTTCTTGTCCCATCCGTGGCTTCAACCGTCAAGTTGTAATTTGATTTCTGCTCAGCGTCCAAGGGCCGGGCTACAATCAGGGTTCCGCTGGCCTTGCCCACGTCAAAGCGACTGTCATAATTGCCACCTGCAGAGTAATGTTCAAACACAGTTGTTTCAACAATGAGCGGGAACACAAAAGATTAGTATGACAACTCATTCACACAACGGTGACAGGGACTCTGGTAAATCAACGGGAGGTGCGGACATTCATTCTCTGATGTGCTGATGTAGAGATTTTCCGTGCAGCTACAAAATGTAAACAAACACTATGTAAACGTTATGGGTCAGGGAAGATTTGTTGTTCAAGGAGACGCTACCCTTGTATTACTGTGGGGAAATGATTACCGCAATGTTTTTACTACAATGTGAAAGTGCACGATGTACAATTAGGGTATTATTTGGGTTATAATAAAATGGTTATGAATAAAGGGATAGTCTTGACTTAACCAGGCAATATCCAAAAATGATAATAGAAAAATTCAGATTATTTTGTTATGATTTCGTCACTTAGTAGCTCAATTGTGGGTTTAGGAATTCCCAAAGCCGGGAAGCTGGTTGAGTGTAATATCATAAGCTGATATTTTAATTAAATACGCTCTATTTACAATAAATCATGTTTTTTTCCCCTATGGTGCGTGGAATTTGGGGTCGGCTCAACCCGGTTGGGATTTTCTAAGAACTGAACTCATCCTTGACTCTCTATGGTGCAGGGCCAAAAAACATTGGGAACCACTGGTTTAAATTCATTTAGAGGCTAAATATATCAAATGTTCACAACTTGTATTTTTTTTTATCTTTAATCGTACAGATTGACATATGTATATGTATATATGTATATGTTTTATCTTTAATCGTACAGCTTGACATATGTATATGTATATGTATATATGTATATGTATGTCGCCATCTAAAGGATGAAACATTCACGGTTTCACAAGCACTTTTCACAACATTCTCTCACACGTCCCAGGTACAAAAGAAAGCACTGGTGAAACAACAACACTACAGGTACACCAAACAAAACCACCCGACCATAGTAACAGGCAGCACCACGCACGCACAATGAGGCTTGATCTCATAACACACAGTAGAGCCTATTAGGAGATCCCAGCAGCTACCTTCTGCTGTACAGTTGTGGTCACAAGCCATCTGAAGGATGTAAA